GCGGGCGGGCGAGCTCCGAAGCAACGGATGACCGACACGTGTCGGTATTCCCTCGGCTTTCTACGGAGCTTCGGAGCACGGGAGCGGATAAGGGAGAGAGGTGGGGCCCGCTGTTGTAATATCTCTTCAATCCGATACTGCGGAAGGTATTTCTGTTGTGCACTCGCGCACGTCAGAGGCTTTCGGTCAAGATATAATGCGCGCTACTACTGGGCTTGTTAACTGGAACTGACAAGTAAGACGAGTAGTCGGTGGGTTGGTGGCACAGGTTAGAGAGGTTGGCGTGGGTGAGGAGAGGCACTTTACGAGGAGAATAATTGAGTGTTAGTGACTAAATTCGGTCAGCTAATCCTGTAATTAGATAGATAGATAGAGTAGAATAAAACCGTGAGTTTGGATAAAAAACTGGATGACATTGATGGGTTTACGATGATCCGCACGGCTCCAAAACTTAATCATGAAATGATTAGAAGGATGTGGAAGAATAATGGTGATTAGATATAGTACAAAATATGAAACTACCATGTATATGAAAAATTCATATTTGTAGATTCCATGATGACTATTATAAATAAAAAATTAGGAGTGATGTGATCTCTAGTAGTAGTAGTTAGTGTTATCTTCGTCCCCAAATGATGTGAGAATTTAGAGATGGAAGTAGGATCCTAATCTTTTCTATTAGATCTTGTAACTTGTACATATGAAGGGCACGTTTAGCAGCTTTGGATTATAGTCTATTTAGCTTATAATTTACAAATAGATTATAAGTGTTGGTGTCTATGGTTAAACCTGGAATAAAACAGATAATTTTGTTAGGAAGTTGAAGTGCTGTATTTTTAAAAAACTTTTTTAAGTTTAGTTGTTGTGCGTTTATGAAACGTTGTGCTTAAAGCAATATTTGGCCTACTCCGGTGCAAGGATCCCAAGGCAAACTGCTTCCAGGAACAGCAGTACAGTATAGTACACTGGTGTGTACCGACCAAGTATTGTCAATATCTCCTTGATCTATAAGACCATTCGGTGAAGGCAAAGATCTCATCGATCTGTTAAACCTTTCGGTTCAAAACTTTTCGGTTAAAACCTTTCGGTTCAGACAAAGGTCTCCTCGATCTGTTAAAACATTTCGGTTCAAAAACCTTTCGGTTCAGACAAAAATCTTTCGATCTGTAAAACCTTTCAGTTCAAACAAACATCTTTCGATCTGTAAAATCTTTCGGTTCAGAGCTGTGTTAGACCCTAGAGGGGGGTGATTAGGGTCTTATGCTAATCTATTCCGATTTTATGCCAATTAAAATTAATTAACAAATTATTCTTACAAGATGATATCCAATTACTTATGAGCAAGAATATGCAATATACACAAGGTGAAAATAACCAATCTACAAAAGAGATAGGGGAATATGAAGAGCAATACACAAAGGCGATAAGATATGAATACAAGAATAAGAACGCCAATGCAATCACAAACAAAACGATATGATCACGGAGATCGGTCTAACCACTTGACCTACGTCTCCGCTCCTCGCCTCGAGGAGATCTTCACTATCACAACTGGGTTTTCTACGTTTACCCGAATAACGTTTACACCACACAATACCGTTTTCTAGTTTACCGAAAACTCTACAACTAACACACTCTTGTAATCTCACTCTACACCCTCTCAAGTGTTGAACTAGACGTGTCTCCCTCAAGTGCTCGGTTACAACCTCTCTCTAGGTTCGTCAACCGACGCCACTCCTCTTGGGACGATCCCCGACTCTCGCCACACACTTCTCTCGGTGTACAAGTGTATTACAAAGTGATCTCACAATTAAGCACGATTACAATAAATGATTGTTCTCTAATATGGGTGAGAACACAATGAAAGCTCACACTCAATTGTTAACTCTCACTAACCCAAATATACTATGTATGAAAATATGATAAGCTCAAGTGGGTGTGTGTAAACAATGAGTGAAATAAGATCTAACTCAATTAGCAAACTAGCAATAATAAGAATATGAAAATTAATAATAGAATTGCTAGAGAAAAGAGTTAGAAAAACTTCTCTATAAACACAAAGGAGATGATGAAGAAGATTGAGGATGAATCCCTCAATTGACAACGCAAGCTTCCTCCTTTGTAAACAAAAACCCCAAACTTAAAACAAACTAAATAAACTTTTAATCTCTTTTAAAACTTGTTTAAAACTCTCTCTAGTTGGTTGAAAATAGTTATGGCAAAGAGATATATATAGGCTTGAAGAAACCAACCCCAAAAACCCACTAAAAAACAAAAATCAGCAACTAGCCGTTACTGTACAACGGTAACATTTGCGGTCGACCGTCACGGTCGACCGCGAGAAAAAAACTACAAAAACTGCTCTCTGGACTGCGCACGGGCACTGTAGCAACGTGCACAAGCAATTTTCAGGTTTTGACAGATTATGGAAATTTGCGTATCTGATTTTGTAAAATCAATTAAAAATAGTAATTCAACTCCAAAAATCATGAAATTTTGAGGGAAGGTTCTAAACATGTAGGTTAACATGCTAGAGAAAATAATTTCTGAAAAATCACTTCTCAGATGAGAGAAATAAATGTTTGAACACAGATAAACAGTTTCTAAAAAACTGCTAAAAACTCGTTTTTGTAAAGAAATAAATGTTTGAACACAGATAAACAGTTTCTAAAAAACTGCTAAAAACTCGTTTTTGTAAATTCAATTGAAAATAACAAAACAACTCCAAAATTAGTAAAACTTGGGAAAATATTTGTATATATGAATATGAACATGTAAACAAAGAAATTTTTCAAATTTCATTTCCCAATTATGAATACGCATCTGTTTTGTAAAAACATGCACGGACACATGCACGTACATGAACAAAAAAACTTGATTTTTCCATAAACAAGTTCAAACAACTTGGAAACACTTTAGAATGGATTTGTAGACATTATACGAGATAAGAAAATAGTGTGAACAAGTCTTCAATCTATAAACACAATATTTTCTAAATACAATAGAATATGAAACAAATAAAAGTGTACATGAAGATATATATTGTTTCATATCTACATAACTAAACCAAAACAACTTAACCATATGAAAAAAAAACATGTATATATATAAATATGTATTTGTTTCATATTTAAACTTGAAAATCAAAACTTGTATTTATATATATGACTATATATATATATAAAACCAAATACGTGTATGTATGTATATGATTGAGCTTAGAGTATCAAACACACATAATATAAAACCTAAACTAAATTACCCAAGCTTGATCTTGATCTTCAATAAGCTTGACTTGGTACACTTGCGGATGAAGCTTAAACTTGGATCTTGAACTTGAATTGCATTACTTCAACCACTATATCCGCCATCCTCCATTTGATATGATCGTTATGGCGCAATCCATCCAACCTCCAACTCGTTGTTTGCCTAGAATAAATACGAAAATACAAACACTAGACAAACAACATTAGAAGTAAATTATTTGTTAAATATCATCAAAACAAGAAGGCCAACACTATGTTCCTTTCGGGCACAGACTAAAGCTTCCGCACTTTCAGACTCTGCAGCAGCAACACAACAGCACAAAACACTTGTGTGTTTTTCGTATCTCTTTTTTTCTTGTGTATCCAAAAGCTCGCCAAGAGGCACTATATATAGGCTTCTAAGACCAGCTCAAAGGTCACCCACATTTAATTTGACTGTTACAAACATAATGACCATAATGACAATTATGTTTATAACAGCAAATAACATAAATGTTGTAACTGTTGCATGCAGTAACGTCTGAACGCGAGGGTCACGTTCATGCGTAACGTGAGGGTTGTATCCAGCCTCACATGAACGCGAGAGTCGCGTTCCCTCTTGTGAACGCGAGGGTCGCACCCTTATGTGGACGCGAGGCTTGTCCACATGCTACGAAGCAACCTGCGAGGAAGTCCTGCGTGGCAGCCTCAGCCCGATTAGCCCTAATCCCCGGCCCATTGGCCCACGGCTCACGAGCCCACAGCCTACGGCCCACGACCCACGGCCCATGACCCACGACCTACTAGAACTTATGAGATATTATTTAAATAAAAACAATTCTTGGCTTACCGTTAGCAAACCTCGAATACAAGACCTTTGAGATGTCAAAACTTTAACTTTCCACTACCCTACTAAGGATTTTGAAAAATACCAGTATTTAATAAATACATAGTTTGAAAACTCATTTTTAGAAAACGGTTTTGACCAAAAATATCCAACAATAAGTTAGGGAAAATGTGTCAATACTCAAAAATAAAGAAGCTGATGTGACCCATCCCCATCAACTTTTTCATTTACTCTTTAGCCCCAAAAGAGCCAAAAAAGTATGGCCTAGAGCCAAAAGCCTACTTTTATACATGTATTCTATGTATTTTTATCAGTATATTGTAGGCAAATAAAATTGCCTTTATCCTTAACAAAGAAATTCAGAAGTTCGGCTGCAAGAACATTACCAAAAATAGTAAAACACGGATAAAAACGCTGATACCTCTCAAACCGGAGGGAGTTTGGTGAAATAGATGGTGACAAACCAAAATTCAGTGGGTTTTGTCAGTCCCGTCTCATCGAGATAGTCGATTTTCATATATAATTCGTCTAATTCTGACTTATGATTTGAAAGTTATTATCCGTTCTTGGTAGCAAGTTATGTTCCTCGATACTTGAACTTCGCCTGCAAGACTAGGGTTCGTCTGAACCAAGCCAAGTCTACTTGTACGCCTGAACATTCAAGGCAAGTCTGCCTGATAGTGTGACTTCGCCTGAATCAAATAAGCAAAGCCAAGTTCACATGAATACTTGACTATGCGGACAATGCCAAGTTCGCCTAAACATTGAGCTTCGCCTGAACGAAGTTAAGCTCACCTGAATGCTTAACTTACGAACCCCGCCTACATGAGCCAAGCTCGCCTGAACGCTTGAAGCTCGCCTGAATTAATTGAAGCTCACCTGATACC